TGAAGACAGAGTTTCAGATCTTGAAGATGCTGGTGTAGCTAGTGAAAAGGTAAGAAAGGATCTCTTAAAAACAACGAGGATGCAGGAAAGAATAATCTATCACCGGCAAGATGATGCAAAGATGAACAATGTGAGAATAATAGGCATCAATGAGAAAGAAGGAGTCAACACAAATGACATTAAAAAAATATGGGTAGACTTGACCATTGTGATTAGCCTGGTGTTGAGGACATGACCTTCACCAGGCCCAGGACCTTCTCTGGTACTGAGAGGGACCCTGGTAGGGACATAAGAGCAACTCTCTCTTCTTCACAGAACTATAAGGACGCCAGTGGCTACTTTGCCAAGCTGTGATGAGAACCTCCCTGAATGTGGAGCTAATACAGAGGCAGCAGGGGTGACATGTGCAGAGAGATGAATTTTGGTTTTAACTTTTTATTTTTTAATAATTTTATTGAAAAACAAATAGCAATGAGACAGTTTCAAACCGATTAGTAGGACAGTTTCAATAATTAATTGCATATTGTTGTCTTCTTGGTGGTTATTAATAGTACAAGATACAGACATGATATTTTGTGTAAACACTATTAGAACAAATATTTTTATTCATTGAATTTGAGAAAGTAGCTGTATATCTATCCTAACTATTTGGAATATACAGATACAAAATGGTCCTTCATTTGTATCCCCTTTTTTAAATTTAATTTGTCAGAGAAGGGTATGAGAGATGAATTTTGATTATATACCATGACCATGCCTGGAGCCCTGGCTATCCCAAGACTATTGGTTTCCTAAGTCAGTTGTGTCCCTTGTCCCTTTGTCTATAAGCCAGTCTTCTGTTCTCTGTTGTCTCAGTTACTTTCCTTTCATCGCTATAACAAAATACCCAACACCCAACATGAAGGAGGGAAATGTTTATTTAACTCACAGTTGATGGAGGTTTCAGTCCATACTCAACTGGCTCCAAGGCACAGTGGCACTGGCAGAGGGCAACAGTTCATGACCAAAGAAAAGAGCAAAACCACAAGAGCAAAATGGGAGAAGCATCAGCAGCAGAAGCTGAGGCAAGCGTCTCTCCCTTCCTTATACTGCACCCAGGCTATCTGCCCCAGCGTGGGTATAGCACTCACACACATAATCCCAACATTGGATCATGAATTAATCACAATTTCTAAGGGCCAGCCAGACAGCTCAGCGGATTAAAGCACCTGCAGAGGCAGACACAGGGACTGGGATTCAATCCTTGGTAACCTGTGCCGACCCTGCCTCCGGGACACACTGCGATGGCAAATGAGACTGGGCATGGTGGTGAGTGCTTGTAATCCCAGTGCTTGGGAGGTTGAAAACAGGAGGATCACTACAAGCTGTGTCGGGCCAGGGAGATAGCTCAGTAGAATAAGTGCTTGCCCGGAAAGCGCAAGGGCCTAAGTTCTCCTTTCTTTTCCTTCTGGGCTGTAGGTCAAACCCAGGCCCCTGTCCATGCTAGGCAAGTGCTCTAACCCCGAGTTCGCTCCCTAGTCTCCTCTGTATCCTAAGCACAGGGTGCAGGTGGACACTTGCCTGTCTGGCCCAAAGCCTCCTCCCGAGAACACTACACCAGTCTTCTGGGCCCTTGCTTCACTCCTCCTCCTTCTCTTTTGTTCCAGCCCCATCACCCGCTCTGTGGTTTGTGTACAGGGCATCTGGTGGTCAGGCACCAAAGCCACTTTTCTTTGGTGAAGCTCACCTTTTGATGAGGTGAGGTCTGTGGCAGCACCGGGCAGCCTCTCCAGGGCTATGTAGCTAAAACAGCACTGGCCAAACCTCTCACAATCAAAAGAGGGCCTTCTAGGTGCCAGGTGCTGCGCTAGATGCTTTATGTGATCACGGCATCTGGCTCCCACAGCTCAAAGGTAGCTTGCTGCACCCCTATTTTCAGATGAGGAAACTAAGGCTCAGAGAGCTTAAGCCATCTTCCTAAGTTCAAAGAGATAGTTATGTGATGGGAACAAGAGAAAGTAGCTCAATGTTAACAGTCACAGTGTTAACCTCTAAACTCACAATAATCTCTCTCTTTATGGCAAGAAAAGCACCACAAACCATCCCTCAACACTCATGGGAGATTTTGCTAAGTTCCCAAGATGCTCTGAATCTAGTACATCCTCGAACCCCCACGTAGCACCCCTGCAGCCCCCACAGTCGTGCTGCAGGGCATCTGAGATGCCAGCCCCGCTGCCCCCACTCTGCCCTGCTTCAGGGTCCCCGCCAGGCCCAGCTGCTGACCATTCTCTACGGGGACTCGTCCAAAAGGCCCTTCAGGATATTTTGCCAGAGCTCAATAGCAAAACATGGGAGCTCTGTAGCTGGCCTTTGTAAGAAAGAGTAAGAGGAGGACTGCTCTGACAAAGGGGTGGTGAGAAGAGTGGCTACTTGTACTGCGCTTCCAGAGCTGTGCCAGCTTTAACTTCTCCCAGGACACTATCCTGCCTACCTAAGAACATCTTCACTCCCTGGGAGCCGGGGACCTCACCTCAGACCCTTACCCTGTCCTCTGCAGGTAATGATGCTAACCCAGAAACCACTCTCCCGGTCTGGACCTAGCCAGCTACATTTCTGTGCTGAAGGTGATTTCCTCCATGGCTGAAGTAGGCGTCCAGGTCTGTGCAGGGTGGCAGACTACAAATGCCAGGAAATGATCACCCTCACCAGGAACGCCCTCTGGGGAGTGTGGGAACCCAGCTCCCATGCACACGCCTCATTTGGGCCCTGAACTGTTTCCCAGTGCATCTTGCAGGATCAAGCTTCAGCTGCCGGGCAGGAAGGGTGGCTTTAATACTTACAGTCCCTGGAACTGGCTCCCTCTCTCCTCCCCCCTCCCCTTTACTCCCAAATAATCTTGCATTTCAGTGCTGGTCTCAGGGCTCCTTCTGAATGCAAACCAAGCTGACAAGGCCTTACTTCTATGTGTAGAGAGGAGCATATAAATCCAGGATAAGCAGTATAGTAAGGCATCTTTAATGCTCCCAAACTTTGCTTAAAATGCTGCCTGAGGGATTCGGGAGAACTATATTTATAAAAGTCCCCTTTCGACTTCCCATAATAACCTCCCAGGGATGAAGTTCTGAAACCTACTGATTTTGAAAGCCACATACGGATGAATAGTGTAATTAAGAAAACATCTCCAGGCTATTCAGGGCATTTTCTTGGGCCTAACCAATGCATGCATTGTGCAAGTTGGATCCATGAAATTTGTTTCAGACTTAGAACTTAAATAGTCCACACAGCCTTTTGTTTTTTCTTTCTTTTTTTCTTTTCTTTCTTTTTTTTTTTCTTCTGTATTTTAGGGAAGGGTCTACAGGGTGTTCAGGGTCTCACTACTAAGTGATCTGCTTGTTTACAGCCTCCCAAGAGCTGGAATTACAGGTGCGCCACCACACCCAGTCTCAATTGCTGTCTCAGTGCGCCCTGGGGGCAGGTCTGGCAAGGCAGGCCTGGGGATTGAACTCCTGGCCCAGGTGCCGGCTTGCAGGTGCTTTAATCTACTGAGCTATTTGGCTGGCCCTCCTTTTTTTTTTTTTTTTTAAGAGGCAGACTATACACAGAGATCTGTCTGTGATGAGAACTTAAATAATAAAGAGAGACACCCGGATAGTTCAGGGAGAAAAAGGCAGATTGCAAAGCACTTGCTCATGAAGTTGCTGGTGTTCTCAGGGAATGGGCACCTAAAGGCCTCTTAGTGCAGGAGAGGTTGGCTTCGTCTGCACACCAGACATCTGCTTCCTTCAGATACAGCTCTAGTTTCCTTTTATTATTATCATTATTATTATTTTTATTATTATTATTATTTATTTATTTATTTTTAACACATAGATTGTGGCAGGAAGAAAGGGCAAGCTTGTCAGCACCGTGGTAGACGTCACTCCGGTGGAGCTGGAGGTATATCGGAGTGCAGGAGCTTTGCCTCAGAGTTTCCTTCAGGGCAGAGACCGTTGCCACCAGGGTCAGAGTGGAAACCCTTGAGGGCCAAGTTCTGGTATCGCTTCCTCCGGTTCTGCTTGTATATTCGAATCCTTTCTTTTTCTGCTTCTGGGTCAGCGAGAATTCCGTCCCAACGCAGACTTTCATTGACCTGGTTTGAGAGTTTCTCCTCTACTTCGGCCAGGTGGGGGAAGCTCGTGGCGCAGGAGGAGGAAGGAATGTTTTTGTGACTGTCCTTGTCCTGTTTGGGCTCTGACCTTGGGCCATGGTCTTTGCCAGGACTTAGGGTGTCTTCGAAGGATGAAGGAAACGGATTCTTCAGACCTCGACTTTGATGTTTGTCTGCTGAGCAAATGACGAGTTATTGCTGTGGCCACGTCTGCCCTCCGCCCACCTGGGGTCATGCCCAAATCACCAAAGATGGAAGGAGTTGGGGACCCCTCTTTACCCAGGGCCCAGCCCACGCAGCCCACTGGCTTCCTCTTTACCCACTGCCTGTGTGTTTCCAGTCAAGTCATTTTGAGGTACGAGAAATCTTATTTCTTTTCCTTTTGTGGGGCTGGGGATTGAACCCAGAGTCTCACGCAAGCTTGTCATGGCTCTGCCGCTGAGCCACATCCCCAGCACATCCCTCCTATTGAGCATACAGCCTTAACAGCCCATCTGGATGTCAGTCCTGCTCTCCAGATGAGGAAACTGAGCTTCCTTGGGCATCACTAACCTGCCAATGTCACGGAGCAAGTGCGAGAGCCAGACTCACAGGCAGGCCTGGCTCCTGGGGCCCTGTTCTTTCCACTACACCCCACCCCATGCAACCCTGACGCATGCTCACCAAGGTACTTTCCAGGTCTGCAAGTCTCTGACTACCACAGTCTAGACACTTTATGATGGAAGAACCAGAGAACAACTGAAAAGCTTCCTAAATTTGACTAATGAAACCAGTACTATGCCAAACTAGGAAATACTTCTGCTGTATGTGGCGGGCATGTCTTCCGCCCCTCCCCCTGCCACCTTCTTCCTTTCTTCCTTTCCATGAATAGCATTTCAGAATTATATGGCATACATATAAAATAGTACAAGGTGTGGTTCACCCAACAGCTCATTTCTCTCCACTGAGAACAGAAATACCTAGAAAGTGGAGGGGAAGAGAAAAGAAGCCACAAAAGAAAATAAGAGGGACAAAAAAATCACATCTGGACATTTCCTCACTTACTGAAAATGATTTGGTGTCCCCTGCTGACGGGATGAGGTATGTGCTACTGTATATTCTACAGTCAAAAACTACACCACGCTGGGTTGATGCAAGGCTATAAACCCAGCACTGTGGGAAATGAAGCCAGGAAGACTGCAAGTTCAAGCCCAGCCGCAGCACTCAGCAACTTAGTGATTTAGTGAAACCCTGTCTCAAAATGAAAATTAAAAAGGGCCCAGAATGTAGCTTGGTTAGGAGCCCCTGGAGATAACAGAGCTCCATTTTGCTTTGTTGGGTGTGTGTGTGTGTGTGTGTGTGTGTGTGTGTGTGTGTGTGTGTTGAGGAAGGGTATCACTTTGTGGTGCATTCTGGCCTTTAACTCATTATGAGCCCAGGCTGGCCTTGAACTCATGGTGATCCTCCTGCCTCAGCCTCCTGAGTTCTGGGGCCTGGTTACAGTGAGCTTTTGCCCTATATTCTAATATATATAACTTTGTTTTGCCTTTTTATTATGATTCCACCCTAAGAGGTAATTATAACCTTCCCATCGCTCTCTTTCCTAATGACCAGGCTGACATAGCCATTAGCTACTCCTTTAGCCTCCAGCTCTGCACAGAGTCCAGAAACTTGAGCTCAGAACCAGCCACACTGAAGGGCAGGGCCACTTCCCTCATAGCCTAAGCCAAGGCCAGACAGGTGACGATGGACTCATAGCACTCATGGGTAACTGTCTCCCGTGTCACTGCTGCATTCTCTTCTCAAAGTGGGCTCCTGACGGTGGTGTTCTTGAGAAATCTGGGAGTTTTGCAAGAATAGCTTAAGGTGAAGGGACTCTGGGTTTGTAGTAGGTATAGATCTGAGCATGACAGAGACTATCTGTGTGGGCATGATTGTATTATACAGGAACTTTTTTTGGGGGGTCTGTGGGTGTGTCTCATTTTCTGTGTGTGTGTGTGTGTGTGTGTGTGTGTGTGTGTGTGTGTAGCCTTTGAATGTGTGTAACCCTAGCTGTGCTTCAGTTCTGTTGAATTGTGTTTTACCCATATGGGTGTTGTGAAGGGTGTCAGAGATTATGAGGATGCATAAGTGACCAGTGAGATGGTGTGTCCTTGCAGGATGGGTGGGTCGGTATCCTTTGGGCAGGGAGGATTCTTTACACGGGTTTACCGAGTGTGGTGCCTAAACACATGAGGGAATGAGGAGGACATCTCAGGAGAGCATGAGTCTGCGTCTCTGTGTATGGTTGTCAGGCAGCGTCTTGTGTCAAGGGGAGTCTTTCTGTGAGAGGGCTTCCCTACACAGGTCTCACGGAGGGTGTGGGAGTATAGGGTTGTGAGGTGTAGGAAATTGAGAGGGTGTCCATGTAAAGTTAGCCTGTATGGAGCTTGGAGGCTCTGGAAAATGTGGGTGTTGGCCAGGGTGTCTGGGTGGGACTGAGAGTCTCTGGATGTTGTGATTTCTCAGTGCAGAAGTGGAGTCTGCGTAGTCCTGGAGATTGCAGGTCTGTGGGGCTTAAGGGGGTCTTCGTGTTCATGACCAGAGGGTCTCTGTGGGCACGACAGTGTGTGTGTGTGTGTGTGTGTGTGTGTGTGTGTGTGTGTGTGTGGTAAGGAGTTTCTGGTTTTGCTCTGAAGTGGTTTCCAGGTAAAGGAGGATCTCTTGGAGGCTATTCTCAAAGAAAGGAATCTCAGATTGGGGCGCTGAAGCAGCCTCACCACCTGCTCCTCTTACCGTCCCCCTTGCCTGACCCTTTGGTCTTTTTCTTCTTCTTTTTCTTCTTCACCTTTCCTCTGGCTTGCTCTGAGGAGTCGCCAGTGATGGGGGGCAGCCTGGACCCCAACAAGCCCGCTGCGCCACCCTCTCTCTCCTCCTCATCGTCGTCCTCCTCTCCCTCTTCGAGGTATCGCCCCGTCCTGGCCCCACAGCCGCGGTCCATTCGCCCGCGCGATCGCGACCTATGACCGGGAAACGCAGGAGCCCGCAGCTACCAGGTAGGTTCCGGGTGCTGTCTGCAGGCTGGGGCCACGCGTCTCCATAGCGACCACCCTACACTGCGCGTGCGCTGTTAGCAAGCTGCCGCCAGGTGCCGCCTGCGAACGGAAGAACGAACGCGCACGCCTGCGCGTTTCACTCTGCGACCTTGGGACTGTGCAGATTGTGAAAGCCAGGATACATACGTGATTCTAAATCCTCGGGCTGACACGCCTGGTCCACTCCTGTGTCTTCTAGAATGCTATTCATTCTTGCCTAACTTTCTATCACTCCATTCCCGTCGCGTGGCTACCCTGGGCTATAATAAAGCCAACATGCTCAGCGCAAACCTCTCCACTGTTCCCTCTCAGTGAACTCGGCAGCGCCAGGCTGAGGCTGAGCGCCGTCTCTGTCGCTTGATCTTGCTCCCTCCTCTGAAATGGCCTCTTTGCTTTGATACCCTCTTCATATCCTTCCCGCAGATGCTCCATCCACGCAGCCTCTGGAGTGAATCTCTAAAGGTAATTGGAGGCGCCCGGTGTGGTGGCGCATGCCTGCTGTCCCAGCTGTGCTGGAGCCAAGGCAAGGACTGCTTGAGGACAGGTTCCTGGCCAGGCTGGGCGATATAGAGACCCAGGTTCTTAGAAGGGGTTGGGGGGATGAGAGACAGAAAGACAGAAACAGAAAGAATAGAGAAGTAGATAAATTCACTTGCTTAAAAATTTAAAGTGAAGGACCTGGCCTTAGTACAGTTGTTTAAGCGGCTGCTTCCACAAAGCTGTCAGTCTCAGGTTGCTGTAGTTCGATCCCCACAACACTCCAGCCAGTCAAACCACCCCTGAGGGCATTTAGAGAAAAAAAAAATTTAAAGTGATAAAATCAAAATTTCCAGTGATTCCTCATCACAGCATTTATCAAAACTAAACCTAACTGGTGTGGCTGAGAACGCCTGGTATGGTCGCTTGCCTGCTTTTCTTTCCAGGCTTATCCACCACAGACTGTTTTATCTAAACAGGGCTGCAGTACTGTCTCTCACCTCACAAACTCCTCTGAGACGCTTGTTATTCCCACAGCAAGAGACAGAATCTAGTTTCCCTTCCACGTGGATGTGTTTGTTGGCTCTCATACTGGGTCTCCCATGGTGAGTGGCAGAAGTGATACTGTGTGACTTTGTTTAAAAATACATCAAGGTACACCTTTTAGCAACTGTTTTTAAAGTTTGTTTTTGGCTGAGGATCAAACCCAGGGCATATGTTGGGCCTTGCAACACGCCTGGCCAGTGAGACTCGAGGGACCTCTGCTGGGGGCTCCCAGGACACTGCGCCTCCTCTTTGGTCAGACACCGTTGTGTGTGGGTGTGGTGACTGGGGTTGTGACAGACATCTCTCAACAGCGAGAGGGGCTCCTCTGAGGACAAAGGCAATGTGCCAAGGGTGGCAGGCTCTGTGAATGCCAATCCTTGGGTCTCCAAACAAAATTCTTGCATATGAGTACTAGGAGCTGTCAAAAAGGTTCATCTCTACAGTGTTTATAAAAGAAGGAAACTAGAAGCAACTCTGTGACAGTCACATAACTATACCCACCTGAATGAATCTTGGAAATACAATGTTAACTTTAAAAAGGAAGTTTTGAGGGGCCGGGGAGATGGCTCAGTGGAATAAGTGCTTCCCTGGCAAGCACAAGTACCGGAGTTCAATCCCTGGTTCTGCAAAAAAAAAAAAAAAGAAAAGGAAGTTTTGAGAAACCCCAAACTGAAATGTGTAGGGTGACAGGGGTGACTTGCCAAAGAAGATGATTGAGGAGCCAGATCTAGAGCTGAGAAAGTTTGGAAGATCTTTCAGCGCTCAGAAAGGCGGACTTTCTCTCCAGGGAACAAAACAAAAATATACATTCTTTGCGTGGAGGCATCTATAGCACCTTAGAGAGATACAGGCAAAATTAAGGGCAGCATCTTCAGTTCTGTCAGTGGTACGAGCAGTTGTCCAAGACCTGGAAATGGAGCTAAAGGGAATGCTGGGTGTCCTCTCTATGGAATGCCACGTGTTATCCTGCCAGCTCTTGAAGATTACCTGATTCCATGGGTGAAGGTCTTTTTTTTCTGTCTTTCTAATAACTAGGCTGTTTCACAGCCCTGCAGGGTAGCAGTTAAGCTGTAAAGAAATATTTACTATGATGCAAATGATTATTCCCACAACAATGCAAATAAATTTTGATTGGTAAAGCCACAACTGAATTTTGCTCTCTAAAAAAAAAAAAAAAAAACAAAAACCAAGGTGGTCAGGAGCCTGTGAGGTAGCTCGGCTGACTAAATGCCTGCTTAGGCAAGTGCAGGGACCAGGAGTTCGATCCCTGGCACCACATGCTGCGCCAGCCCTGCCCCTGGGCACGCTGAGCCAGCCATTGAGACCAGGTGTGGTGGCACATGCCTATAATCCTGAGACCCTGTATTAAATACATAAATAAAATAAATTCATTACAATAAAACAAAGTGATCAAAATTACATGTTATGTTTTGTAGGATATTAATATTAACCACCTTTGCTTCCTTTCAGCACTTTTGAAACATATTTGTATATTTACATAGACAGACAAATATGCAGATATATACATATTTCAATAGTTCAATTCTTTGAACCTGGTAAGGTTTTTGTTTTTTTTTTTTTAGGAATCTAAACATTTTAATTTAGAGTTAGTCATGAGCAGGGCCAGCAGTACAGCTCAACGGACTAAGTGCTTGCTTAGGTAAACGCAGGGGCCAGGGTTCCATCCCTGGCTCTGCATGCCGCACCGGCCCCACCCCTGGGAGCACTGAGCCAGTGATGGAGTCCAGACATGGTGGCTCGTGCCTGTAATCCCAGCACCTGGGAGGCAGAAATCAGGAGGATCACTATGAGTCTGGGCTGTGTAGTGAGACCCTGTTACTTCTCCAGATGAGTAGGAAGGAGCCCAGACTGATTCTGAGTTACAAATGCTGTTCTTGATGAAATA